CTATCTACCTACCCACCTACCTAAGTAGTGTTTTGAACCGGGCTCATGGTCACGTTCGAATTTCCGTATGTATGTGCAGAGAAGATTTTTGCCATGGCCAGTTTCTTATATATTTATCAGGTTTTTTCTTTCTGTTTAGTAAGTCGTTATTCAAGCACCTTGTCTTAGTTTTTGGACAGTTTCCTCTGTTAAAAAGTCCCGGAAACTACAAATGCACCAGCTGCAGCATGAGATCGAGAAATGAGGGACAGAAACACATGGTACGAATATTGAGTGTGTACTTACAGCTATTGGCAGTACCGAAGGCGCGGATCGAAAATTTTACATTTTGGGATGTTTTCAAAGAAATCCCGGTATCTCACTCAGTTCTTGTCCGATTCATGTAAAAACTGGATAAATTTACTCAGCTAATTCATGTCGAATTAGTGATAGAAAGAAAATAGTAAATATAATACATCTTCAGTGACATGTAATCACAGGCCATTATTTGGTATTAATGCAATTTACAGGCATCTAAGTGCATCCAAATGATATGGATGTTTGTCCACTAAGGCTCCAATATGTCCTCAACGATGTCATAGAGTCAAAATTTGCAGCAGTTGGTTTATCAGACTTGTGAATGGATCAGGACAATAGGTCAATATTCTGTGATCAGAATATTGCACTATTTTGAATGTAATGCTGAACTATGTGCAAATCAGAGTCTATGACATTCTTTAAAACATATTAGAGCCTTCCCAGACAAAAATGCATACCATTTGGATGTACTTAGATGCCCGTAAATTGCATTGATCCACAAAAATGCCCTGTAAACATAGATCAGTGGATATATATTATTTTTTGTTCTTTGGTTTCTATCACTAATTCGGCATGGGTTAACCGCGTAATTCCATCCAATTTTTATGTGAATCGGACAAGAACTGAGTGAGATACCGGGATTTCTTTGAAAACATCCCAAAATGTAAAAATTTCGATCCGCGCCTTCGGTACTGCCAATAGCTGTAATAGTCATGGTTTGGGTCGCAGACTCGTACCTGGGATGCCCATGCCCATATGCATCGATGGCGCGTGGCGCGTCGCGCGTCGCGCTGGCGGCGCACAGCCATGAGGCTGTCCGACCACTTGATGCGAGCCACGTTTTTGGGATCAAATCAAATCACTGGCATCATGATTTACTTCAGTGATCGGGAACTCCTGGGAGCTTTTTTTTTTCGGTAAGCGCGACGGCAATCGTTTCCGGCTGAGGGAGCCCGATGGGAATTATGTAGGAACGGGCAAATGTAAAAGTTCTCTGGCTGGTTTCACGTTGGCGGAGTGGACCTTGTACTCTGGCAAATCTCCCGTGTGCCTTGGCACGGACCTGAGCCCATGTGGCGTCGTATCAAGTCGTTTGCGGTGGGTGTATTTCCAGAGCGGTGGAGCAACGTTTCACATGCTCCCGACCGTGACGTTGTGGGGACCGTTGACACTCGGGTTTGTATGGCATTGCGTAATGGCTGTATTGTCAACATCGCGCGACAATTTTCGTCTGCCTGCTCGCCTGGAGGCCAGTCAGGCGCGGGAGGCGTCGCTATGTGCCTGTGCGGCCACGCACTTTCGCGTCACGGTGAGCATACATAGTTTTCACTCGTTTCCGAGGGGGCGGGGCCGTGATTAATTGATTGCCGAACGTGCGTGCGCATTAGACTGGTCGCGCGCGGCGCGCGGTGCTCGTCGCGCTGCGCATTGCACGGCAGCTGCGGGGCGCAGCTGCAGCTCGGAGCCATCGGGCTCGCGCGCGCTGACTGCTGCATTCTGCACTCGTTGCCAGCGCTACAAACAGCAGTGGGTGCCGATGTCGATCAAATCGCTGCTAGTTGCCATCACTGCGGGAAGCCTATTGCACCTGTTGATGCGCTCTGCCATGTGTCCCTTGTTCTTCGCGGGGATTCGCCGGTAGGAAGTATCGGTCGGGAGTTACACTTACACAGCGCGGTGGAAGAAGAAGAAGAAGACGAAGACGAGATCGGGATCGGCTGCGCTGCCAGTGGACGTGTTGTGGACGCGCAAGAGCTGCCAGTGGGACTGTCAAGTGTGTACGTAACGGTACCGGTGCGGTGTGCCTGGCTCTGATTTCAATCAGCTGATTCAGACAATTGAGGTTGGGATGCGGTGCAGCCGCGCCGGCAGGGATCCAAACTCAGACTGGCGAGACCACAAGTCAATCGGGCGGTACGGCACTGGCACACACTGGCAAAGGTATAAAGCCCGCGTCTGATACGATCTCTTCCAGCACACATACATACATACCCCTCTCTCCCCATGAACTCCAACTCCAGCGCGCTCTTCGAGGTGCCCAGACGCGTTGCGCTTGCGTGTGCGAACTGCCGCGAGCGCAAGATAAAGGCACGTTCCCGCCCTGGCCCTCGACACGCTGGTCTGACCTTGGAAACCGCAGTGCATAACGGAGGGGAAAGACCGGACGTGCATGCGCTGCCACTTTAACGGCATGCAGTGCGAGTACGTCGCGACGCAGCGGCAGCGCGAGCGCGTGCTCTCCAAAGACGCCAGCACGAGAACGCGTGCCGGAAGGAAGACGCAGGCGCAGGCGCAGACTCGGCGGGCCTCGCGCTCGCCGCGGCTCTCGCCGTACCCGAGCCCGCGCCTCCAACTCGAGGTGCCGCCCCCGGAGCCAGAGTGGGCGATGTCGCTTTCCTATGGCGACGCGGCGGCGCCGGCGTTCGAGTTCGCCGCGTACGAGTGCGCACTGTCCCCGTCGCTGTCGCCCCTACCCTCCATCGCGCGCTCGGGCTGCCGTCCGTCCGCTGGCACGCCGTCGCTGGCGCTGGCTTCGGACCATGACGTCGACGTCTTTGCGCTGGCAGGCGGCGCGTACTACGGCGCTGCGGCCGACGCCGACGCGTACCCGACACCGCCCTCGAGCGCGAGCGCGTACCCGCACCCGCACGAATCGCAGACAGCACTGTATGGCATGCATACCCCAGATGCGCTTCCATCTCCGCTGTACGGGTCCGCGTACCCCACCCCATCCACCACCCCCACGCCCACGTCCGCTTTCCCTACGCAGGGCTTCCCAACCTCGGAGTACGACCACAGCCTGCATCTCTCCGGCGGATACCCCACATACCACCCGACCTCGACGCCCACACCGTCCTGTACGTGCGTCAGCTTTTCGAAACGCCAGAGCCGCGTCACTGACACACATTTTTCTCAGATGTGGCGTACGCCAGTGCGCTTATGGCCATGGAGGCGCCTGCGTTCGCGCTGCCCGCGCACCTGGATCCGAGCTTCAACTACAACTTCTACGCTACTAACAGCCTGTGCGCGTGCTAGCGCTCGGCTGTCTTAATCTCTCCAGGTCCCCCCACGATCATCATCTGCTTATTGTATTTTTAGTATTTAGCATCAGTATTTAACTCCTTCATAGGAACGCATGTATCGGTATATATATTTATATGTAGCTGTAGCCACGGTCTCGTCAATGCACTGGCACGAATGTTTCATCCACGCTGTTTCGAAGTTCAACTTTTGCGCCCGCCCGCTGCCAGCTCGGCGCGCCTTCTCCCGATCGCCGCGGCCACGTGGAAAGTTCGATGGTAGCTTGCCGATCCCGCCACCTTATCATTCTATCATTTTCCCTCGAGCTCCGGGCGTCTCAAGTCCGAATGCCATTAGTGCTGAGAAGCGCAGTCACGGTCTCTTGGTTACGGTGCCTTGGTTACGGTAGGATTACTAATGGGAATTGCGGCCAACTCAGCGCGAAAAGGCATCGGAGTTGTCCAGAAGTGAGGCCTGAGGAGGTGTGCGTCTCAATGGCAAAAGGCGTCATCAAAGATTAGAGATAAGATTCAAGTGGCAGCACGACCCCGGGACCACTGGCAGATGTTTCATCGGCATCGCGGGCAGGTGTGAGCGCTTGAGCCCGGATGTTCCCGGGCCCGAATGAGAACAAGGACCATGGCCAATTGACAGGGGAACTCGGCGGGTGTGTGAGCCATGAAACGCAGCGCATGAATTCCCTTAAAAGTTAGGGGACTCCGTGTTTTGAACGCAAATCTGATACCTCTCAGGCAGCCGACGCGCAGTGGATCACATCATGCGTTTGACCTTGATGGATTTCCTTGTTCAGTGGTCTGGATCTTTTAATTATATTCACAGAACTTGGAATGTCCGTCTTGCCGCTGGTTTAAGTCTTTGTGAACTGGAACAAAAACGTGATCCAGAGTCACGTGAGCAAAATTCTGTGCCATGGCGGCTAAATTCATGAATCTAAAAGTTATCGATGTTGAAATGGTCAACTTCAGGATGGCGCCTCGGCGTGGCAAATCAAGTTCTCTAACTTTTGGAAACTAACAGCTAGTACATTTTGATAATGTCGCGATCGGACCAATCATGATGATGCAGTGATATTGAGCGTTCTCCCGATCGCGTCCGGGACAGCGCTAGTCCGATGGCAACTCTCAGATCCCGCCGCGTTACTATTTCCAAGTCGACCTCGGTTGATATTATAACCGGGCTGTATTGAACTTGACTGGGTGTTTATAAACCTGTTCATAAAATTGGTGTTGGGTCTCTGTGCACAACCTTTGAGTGCGTTGCTGCCCGGACGTACTAGTACACCAGAGCGCGGCGTCACGGTCACGGTACACCACGGCTCGATGGCGGTCGGAGCTATGTCTGCTTAGCGCACGCAGCGGTCTCGGGCTCCGCAAACAACCTGTCGCCGAACACGTTGTCCGCGCCATTCAAGTTGGGGCCCAGTGCACCTCCAAAAGACGACATAAGAGATACTGTAGATGTACACGCACACGCATCTCCTCTTCCCGACCCGTATCCCTTGCTCCGTGAATTCTGAGAGCGACTTTTTTGGCTTGCACCAGACATAACACATAACTGACTTTTTTTGTGTGACTTTTGATCGCATTTGAGTGGCGATAAAAGCCCAAGCCCAGCGAAAGCGATGCTTAAGGTTAATTCCCTTACTGCGGCTGGATATTCATGGGCCGATGGTGTAGTTGGTTTATCACACCTGTCTAACATCGCGGTTCAGGAAATATGTTCACAGGCGGTCCTCAGTTCGAACCTGGGTCGGCTCAATTTTATAATCGTTGTGCATTGCGAGAGATGTAGTATTTTTTTCTACTCGTCATCACCAAAAGTAACCGGAATCGGTGTTCTAGCTAGTAAATCCGCTTACTCCCAGCAAACCGTTACTCAATAGTCAGCTCAAACTCTCCCTTGACATTGGCTAACAGAAAAACTCATCTGTTCTGCCTGCCTTAAGGTTGAAACTGCTCTTTAAACAACTTTTTAATCAAATGGTAAAGACTCTTTCCTCGTTAATTTATTTGTGTTAGCCTATAGGAGAATCCGGTACTCCCGGAAACTTGGGAGTGTACTGCCCCACGTTCAACACTCTTTATGAGCCACAACCGTGGGAAATACTGTCCCAAAAACTCCTAATAAGGAAATCCGGTTATTTTTTTATTCTGGTTTTAAACCAACCAGGAGACCTGATAACTCAGGTTCAAGTGCCCTATCTGATGTCATTTATACCCCAGAATGAGATTCTCTCCAAAAGACGCTGCGGAATATTTGTCCTGTACAGGTACAAGCCGAATTCCAGTTACTTTTGGTAACCCCGAGTACACTTGAGAAAGCAGACTTTACTTAGTAAGTACATAGTAGTATAAGTACTTGAGCGTAATTCTAGATGATTTTATGAAGGTGATTAATTTTGGATATTATGTGATGTGGCTGATAAAATTACAAACCATGATGCTTCTGCTTCTGTGTAATCGCAGCCGTGCCAGGAAGAAATCGAGATTGCCGTCGGGATTGCCGTGTTGTAATAATCACAGCCAGCACGGCTACACGGACAAGGCTGGATATAGGCCCCCAAAGTTGATCATGTGCCGTGCAACACGAACACGGCGGCCAACCCTGGCGTGTATAGTATACGCCGACGCGTCATCCCGTACTGCGGTGCTTGCGCGTTATCCAAATTTACTTACTCATTTATGATTTGTAGTAGACACGCGTATGTTTTCTCTTAGGTAGAGTATGCAGGTATGAAAAATCTATCTTACCGTCTTTTTCCCCCATCGTTCTCTTAGTTCTAACAATGTATCCCAAGGCCTTATACATTTTGCCTGTACGGGAAAAGTGGTCAACTTTAAATCCACTGCGGAAGTGGACATTGACAATTGTTGTTAAGGCTCTAACTGTTTCCCTTTATGAATGGTTTTAAACCCTTGAAACCGTTTTTATTTAGGTTTAGTTTGGAGGGACGGGCAAACAGTAAACATAAATGATTTTTGAACAGTTCAAACAGTTGGATTTTTGCTCAATTTTACTCAGCGGTGGCAAGAGCTGATTCTCCGTGGCTTTAGTTATGATGTCGGAACTCAACCGCGCGATTACGAGCTCACCACTTCCGATGTACGAATACTATATGCAGAAGAACCTTTGTTCTGTAACTTTTATTCACAAGTGTTTCCTTGCTCAATCTACCTTGTACCTGGACAATATATATAGGAAATTTGCCTCCATCCCACATCTCTGGCCACAATCAGCAGATCAACTGTTTATCTGCAGTTGGACTGCAAAAAAGCAAAGCTGTGTGACACGGTCACAAATGTGAAAGGCACGTGCCGCGTCGGGAAAAATCGGTCCACGAACTTATGCAAATGGTGCCTTGGTTACGGTTACGGTAGGATTACTAATGGGAATCGCGACCGACTCTCGCCCTCAGCGCAAAAAGGCATCGCAGTTGTCCAAAAGTGAGGCCTGAGGAGGTGTGCGTCTCAATGGCAAAAGGCGTCATCAAAGATTAGATCAGATTAGAGATAAGACCCGACCAACACCCGACCAGATGTTTCATCGGCATCGCGGGCGGCTATGTCCGGATGTCCCCGGGCCCGAATGAGAACAAGGACCATGGCCAAGTGGCGGGGAAACTCGGCGGGTGTGTGAGCCATGAAACGCAGCGCATGAATTCCCTTGCAAGTTGAGCTGCCAGGGGACTCCGTGTTTTGAACGCAAATCTGATACCTCTCAGGCAGCCGACGCGCAGTGGATCAGATCACCTCATGCGTTCGAACTTGATGGATTTCCTTGTTTAGTGAGCTCAATATCTAATTATATTCACAGAACTTGGTGAACAACGTGATCCAGACTCGGAGTCACGTGAGCAGATTTCTCAACCTCACAGAAACTAGCTAAATTCATGAATCTAAAAGTGTTCAACTGTATTTACACTCTGAGTATATTGCTCAATGTTGCATGTGCTTCAGCCTGGGTTACAACTCAAGGGGGTATCGATGTTGGAATGGCCCAACTTGAAGACGGCGCCTCGGCGTGGCATGATTTTTACGTAAATCAAGGTCTCAAACTTGAAACTAACAGAAACATTTTAATAGTGTCGCGACAGGACAAAATGGCGCTGTGATATTGAGCGTTCTTCCGATCGCGTCCGGTACATTCCACGAGGAAGCGCTAGCCCGATGGCAACTCTCAGATCCCGCCGCGTTACTATTTCATAAGTAATTAATAACCGGGCTGTAAACTGTGTTCATAAACAGAGCTATCATTTTTGCCTTCGCTCCCTCAACGGTTACCCGACAGCAAGTCTTTGGAAAGCAGCATGAAGTTGAAATCACCTCGGGCCCCGAAGGATGATACTCAAGACCCTGAGAGGCAATGGATTTCTCGCCTTAGGAGGCACCCACATATGACACATGCAGTTGAGTTAAAATATGGTCGGCGTTGTTCAGGTAGCTCTTGTGCACATCAAATTTAGCCGAACTCGTCTGGTTGACCGAGACAGGTCGGCGTTGTGTTGTGGCGCAACTGCGCATGAGAAGATTGATTGATTCAGTGTCACCGGTTTCCCGTAAAGGTTGGCAAATTATCAGGTACATTCAATAAGAGGGAGAGTGATTGTGCTAGTAATACAACGCCCACCGGTTACGACTACTCTATTCATGTTTATGCGGCTGAATGGGACTGTGAAACTTGTGCGAACCCGTCAAAGAAAGTGCGGCTGCTTTCACTGCGTACCGTCCAAAAGGGTAAAATTTGGGCGATGGTAAGCCAGAACTGTTGTTATATATATATTCAGCTGCGCCCTGAAAAAAAAAAACAGAAAGAATATACCATGTAAAGTTGCAAAGTGACTTTGTCCTCTGGTTCGGTCCGCTGAAACATCACGCGGATTGCGATGTAGAGCCCCAAACCGACGAAAGATGCAGAGGTGATTACGCTCAAGTCGCTGCCCCAGAAAACCGCCAGCCCAAAGCTCCAGGCTGCCATGAGAACAAGGGTCATCCGTCTGCTGAATTCTGGCATGACGACGGGGAAGGTGGTTCGGCCCTGCTGCCTGTCGCCGGCCTCGTCCCGGAAATCCTGCACATGGATGGTGGTTGCGATCAAGGCAGTGCTGATGTAGGGTGCGAGCCATTGGTCCCCCCCTGGGCTCACGAGACCTAAAAATGAACTGAATATAATGCAAATGCATCTTGATATACTTATTCGCAGACCTGCGCGAGTGATTTTCGCTGCCCCGACATTCCACGATACAATCCCGACGGCGTTGAGGAAATTCTTCGTGTAGAAGGAAGAGTCGAGACCGAGCTCGTTGTAGACCACAAATGCCACGGCGAGCGATAGGCCAGGATATAGAACGGCGTAGTACCAGGACAGTCCCAAGCATATGGGGACCAATATCCAGCGGAGGATCCTTGTATGTTGCACGGATATGAGGCCCGCAGGAATGGGTCGGTATGGTTTGTTGATCCCGTCCTCCTTTGCGCTGGACATCTGGTTTGCCGCGCAGCACTGAAGGAGATTTAACCAGACCCAGACCGAAAGCGGCACCAGCCGCTCGTAGGAAACCTGGGGCGCAGCCATAAAACCGTAGAATATCTAGAAGCGCAGCATTCAGATGCGGGGGCCGATGAATGATAACCGGAGTGCGTACCACTGGGAAGACGATGGTCTTGTAATCGGATTTCGTGAAGTTGAAAGCTGTGCGAGCAATGTGGTATATTCAACTATATTGCGTGAAGAGGGCGACGCGATATCGATACGTCAGACATTGTCAGAAAATGCGATTGGGCAGTCACTAGCATGTTTGAGCGGGAAAGACGAAGAGAAAAAGAGCTAACCCACTATGACATTTCTTTAAAAAAGGCATATCTGATCAGCATGTGCTGTATTTGCAATTGCCGCCTTCGGCAGTCGCACCTGACACCGCGAGCATGTGGCTACCTCCAAGTGCAACGTCCGGTGAGCGAGATACCGCCGCTATTCAAATCACGTCGTTCCTCGATCGACTGAGAACTTGTACTAGTGCATGTCCGGGGAGGTCCGGGGAAGCTTCCACTCGTGACAAACCGCCTCCGCCCCTGATCCTTTTTGGGAAGAGCACCGCCCCCTGCCGACGGCTTCCTTGCGGAGCTTGAAACCGAAGCCGAGCTGAGGCGCCAAACAAGCACCCCCCCGCCACCTCTTCCTCCTTCCACCGACCGCGACGCCCCTCCTGCGCCTTCCTGCGCTACCCTCCTCTGCAATGCCTCTCTTCCAAAACCACCATATGATAGACATCAACGCGCTGCGCACTCCCTGCCCCGAACCCGCCTGCACCCGCGTCCTTCCTGCCCCCCGCAAGGCGCGAACCACGGCAAGTGGTATACCGCAGTGCGTTGTCGACGCGTTTTTTTCACCTCGCCCAACGCTAAACTCATTTTCTAGTGTTTTAATGAGGCCCTTGGCCACAGATACAAGGTCTGGGATGTCGGTGTCGTCCCTCACCCCACCCCGGCGCGCGCATGCAGGCGGCGGACAGCGTGCACAGGTGCGCAGGGCGGTCAGCACGCGCACGTATGTGGCGCCCGCCTGCGCTGCTCGTCCCTCGCGCACACACACGGCCCGACAGGTACAGTGGACAACGCGCGCACGCACACGGCGGACAGCGTGCGGCCCACGTGCACGGCGGACAGCCGCCCCGCCCGCTCCGTGCACGCCCGCTCGCCGCACCCGCTCCCGCACGCGCCGCGCCTGAGCTCGGCGTGCGAACGCCCACTCCCGCCCGCGC